TTGATGGAGTTCAGGATCCGATCGTTGGTATGAGATGGTTATCAGATGTGGATGGATGTTTCTTCACGTGTTCATGCCCTGCTGATCAGAGGGTGAGGTGCGCTCTGAACCTGTTAAGGCTTGGGGCAAAGGATTGGTGGAGATTGACCACGGGGTCGTACTCGGATGCGTAGAGGGTTGCGATTTCATGGGATCAGTTCAGAGAGATGTTCAACACTCGTTATGTTCCGCAGGTCGAGAGGGAGAGGTTGGCTCAGGAGTTCGTGGAGCTGAAACAGGATTCGGAGTTGGTGACGGAAATCACCAGGATGTTTACTGAGAGGGTGATGTTTTGCCCTGAGTTCGCTTCGGAGCAGGCTCAGATGTCCCGATATCTGAGTATGCTAAAGAGAGACATCAGGCAGTTTGTGTCTGCGCAGAGGTGCAAGACCTTGCTGGAGTTGCAGGAGGCCGCCAGGCGGCGTGAGTTAGAGATTGAGTTGCAGATGCGTGAGCTTAGGCAAGCTCCGGTTCAATCGCAGCCGGCGACGAAACGGTCTAAGACCGTTGATTCCAGGATGGGAGATCAGGGTAGCCACGTCTGTGGAAAGTGTGGAAGGGGTCATGCTGGAGTTTGTCGGTCCGGTGGAGCATGCCGCAAGTACGGAAAGGAGGGACACTATGCGAGGGATTGTCGGCAGTCAGTGTCAGTTCGGGATTTGAGGATATGCTATCATTGTCATCAGGTTGGACATTTGAGGGTCAACTGTCCACGGCTTGCTGCAGGACCAGTGCATACTCCAGCACCGCTACGTTGAGGATCACAGGTGGAGGTCAGGGTGGAGCGGAGCCCCCAAGGGCTTAGGGACGTGATTTTCAGCTTGCTACTGCGGGTATGTTTCTTTCTGTTGTTTTGATTATTTATGATTATTATGGAGTATCGTTATCTGCTAGTCTCGTTGGATGGTTATGGAATTGCGTTTCGGGTTTTCGTGTGGTATCCGTTGTTCCTTGAGGGTTTGACGAGTTGTGTTCGAGATTTCGTTTTGGTATCCTTTGTTCCCTGAAGGATCGATATGGTTATGGATTAGTACTTCGAGCTATTGTGGATTGTCTCTGTGAGGATTAGTGGCGGATGCGGCGTTGGTTTGAATGTCAGGTAGCCTCTGCAGTCTGAGGGGTGGATATTTGAAGATTAGGTTCCTTTCGAGCGGGTTGCTCAGTGTGGAAACATGATTTTTATGGAAGTTGTTAGCGCGGGGAGAAACATTTCGCGTGTAAGTGTTGGTCTTCTGCAAGGTTGCTTTGGGAGATCGGTGATTAATTGTGAGTGTATTAAGTGGGGGAGAATTGGAAATTCTCCGGATGGTCGTTAGGCTTGAGAGGTTGCTTAGCTGCTTTGGGAAGTCAGCGGTATTTCTTTCAGCCGAGAGTAGGCTCGTATGAGTGAGTAACAGGCATGCGGGGCGGAATACAGACCTAGGGCATTTGATTGTGGAAGGCCTGGGAGCAGGCCGGGATTGAGCATGTAAGATGGAGATAGAGTTCGGAACCCCTAGAGGGCTAGAACGATATGCATGGGAATATTTCCCAAAGAGATAGCTCGGAATGATGAATGCATTGTTGAGCGGTCCGGATAGACTGAAGGCCGGTAGGCGTACCAGTCAGGCCGAAGGCTCGGAGGACGGTCCAATCAGATTGGCTGAAGGTTTGAGAGTGGTCCAGATTGGCTGAAGGCCTGGGGAGGCGGTCCAGTCATGCTGAAGACTCTGCGAGTATGTTGGATCGGTTCGAGGACATGTATTGCGTATGTTGCAGTGTGATTACATTGGGAGGTCTGGCCCCGGGTACGATCTTGAGCAGTGAAGGTAGTGCATGGGCTTGAGAGTCCCTGCGATGAGAGTCAGAGTAGTGGTGATGTATGGATGTCGGGTACGCTTTAAAGAGGTAGTGTAGCGTGGGGTGAGCACCATAGTACCTGTCATGGTGACAGGGAGGACGAGTGGTTTCCTTGGTAAGGAAAGAGGGAGGAATGAAATTCCGAAAGGGAGTGCGAATTCACGGAAGTGAAAGCGGCAGTGTAGAGTTATGATTGTTGTTGTCTGTCGATGGTTTTTGAGTAGCATGTTTGCGGCAGTAGATTAAAAGCTCTTTCGACTTGAGAAGTCTGCTCAGGAAGCGGAGGGAATTTCGCAGGCGTAGAGCCAGGAGGAGGGGTTCGGAAGGGATGCAGGGAGAGAGTCTTGGACTCTCAGTGAGATTCTGATCAGGGTTTTGGGTATGTATTAGCGGTTCATCCTGGAAGGATGTTTGAGGATATCATCAGTGTATCGGGTTTTCCAAACCTGAGGGTGCTAGAGCTAGATCAGCATGTGTGTATGATTGCAAGAGGAGAACTCGGGGAGTTGCTCCGAATTGAAGAATGGGTCTTTCTGTCGTCATGGAATGGATAGAGTGGGATTCGGATCGGGGATCCGATGGTTCATGGTTTTCTAGCCATATGAGTCAAGTGAAAGATGAGAATTGGAGCAGTAAGGCATCATGGGTAATTCTCGGTTGTTGAGTGCGGCTATCGGAGGGTACAACTGGTTCCCGAATTGAGTAGGTGGTTGGGACACCGTATGAAAGGAGAAAGAGAGCTTCTGGTTTCTATGGTTGTGCCTTGAGGGACTTGGTCCGGTCAAGGTCAGGTGGTGCGTTGTGGGAAGTATTTTGAAGTTGAGATGCCGTAGGCTTCGAGGACGAAGCCTAATTAAGTGGGGGAGAATTGTAACATCCCGGAATCGCAAGAGTAGAGTTGAAGGGTTAAAAGTGTAAGTTTTGGAGGGCGACTCGGCGAGTCACATGGATGGACTCGGCGAGTCAGGTCGCGACTTTGGTCGCGTGTCAAATGGCCTACTCGGCGAGTCCAAAGATGGACTCGGCGAGTAGGTGCTGGGCGAAGAAAAACCCTAAATCCGGGGAATGAGCCCTATATAAAGATCATTATGTTCCTCCACAGCCTCCTTGATCCCCCCTTGAGTCCCAGAAACCCTAATTTCGTGGAGGAACCCCATTGTTGAGCAAATTGGAGCTTGGAGAGGTGTGGGTTGAAGAAATCTTGAAGGAGAAGAGGCTTGGATCAAAGGGCTTTGCTTGGATTCGAGTTTCATTGCTGTTGAGGCATTCTTTGGAGGTAATACTTTCGTTCTTGGGCTGTGTTTTCCTAGATTCTCATTTTGGGGTTGTGTGGGAAGCTTAGTTGTGTGACATCTTGAGTTTGAAGGATGGATCTGAGGTTGCTACCTCAGATCTGGAGTGGAGAAGATCTTAAGAGCATTAAAGCCCCTGTTCTTGTGTTGTTAATGGAGCTATCATGTCCCAAACCTTAGTTCTAAGGTGAATAAGGCCTAGATCTCTTTAGATTCACGTAAAGTTTGCCACTTTACGTGATGGATGGATTGTAGGAGGTTGGATCTATGTTTTGGATCAATTGCATGGCCTGGAGTGCTTCTGAATTGATTCAGATCGGGTTGACTCGGCGAGTCACATGGGTGGACTCGACGAGTTGCTTGAAGATGGCCTGGAACTCGGCGAGTAGGTTGAAGATAGCCTTAGACTCGGCGAGTCTGTTCTTGGACTCGGCGAGTCTTGTCGAAGAGTCCCAATATTTCCTGGTTGAGTCGAGAATCGGTGAGTCAAGGGATGACTCGGTGAGTTGGGTGCGAGTGGACTCAGAGTTGTTGGACTCGACGAGTCTTGGGGTGACTCGGCGAGTTGGGTCGCTGATTGAGGGAAGTTCTGAGCATAGGGACTCGGCGAGTCATCGGGTTGACTCGGCGAGTAGGGTCAGTCAGGGGTTGACTTTGACTTTGTCCAAGGTTGACCAGTTGTCTTCCAGGGGTATTTTGGTAATTAAGGGTATTTATTGAATTGAATGTTTCGGTGTTCAGTGGAGGAGTTCGTGTCAGGGTTGGAGCAGCGGGATCTTATCCTTTCAGCCGGCAGTTTCGAGGTGAGTTATCCTCACTATATCAACAGGGTCTAAGGCACCAAGGCCGGCCCTTATCGGATTGAGATCCGGGTAGTTGTTATTATTTTGTTGTTGTGATATGCCTGCATCCTGAGAGTTAGGATGATATATGTTAGAGACCTGTTTGAGATCGGTATCCTGAGAGATAGGGAGATGCTATGACTTGTTAGGTCGGTATCCTGCTTAGAGTATGTTATGTTATGCGATCTGCTAGATCGGCTTGTTTGAATGTGAATTGTTATATGATCATATGTTTATGTGTACATGGTTGTTTGGACTGGAGATGGGTTGAGGCGGTCCTGCTTTGTGCTGTAGGCCATGATACTCAGGGCGGACCGGTTGTTCCGAAGGCCCAACGAGCGGTCCGGATATGCTGTAGGCCCCACGCGGGCGGACCAGACGTGTCCAGGCTCGAAGAGTGGACCAGGCCGACTGAAGGCCCGATGCGGGCGGACCAGTCATACTGTAGACTCAGAGAGCGGACCAGGTGAGTTGAAGGCCCAGTGCGGGCGACTCGAAGGACATGACTAGACCTGGAGGATGGATCCGGTGGACTGAAGGCCCGAAACGGCAGACCAGTCACACAGTAGACTCGATATGCATGGTTGTTCTATGTTTTGTTATGTTATGTATGTTTTATATGTTATGGGCCGGAAGGCAATATGTTTTGGACCGGAAGGTCGTAGCCTGGAAGGGCATATATGTGGTTGGTGTTTTGGGGGTATCTCACTAAGCTTTCGGGCTTACAGTTGTGGTTTAATGTTTTTCAGGTTCTTCAGGAGACTGTGACAAGTCGAAGGCGTGATCGTACCGCTCCTCATGATTTTGTAGCAATGTGATTCTGGGAATACTCTAAACGATTTGTATTGAAAACCTTTTTGTAAACAATTTAATGAAATCGGGTTGTTTTTGAAAAATTTAAATGGTTTGTATTTTTCGGTCGTACATTGACAATGCTAATGATCTTGTAGAAACTACAACGAACACTGAGGGATCTGGTGATATTCTCATGGAAACGCCTCCTACTTCAACTCAGATGGCCGACCCTTCAACCAATATGGATACAACTTCAAGGATGCCTCCCCTTCCAGTTTCTATTCCAACTTTCTTGCCATCTGATAGTGATCTCAATATGATAGAAGCCTCCCAGCCTCCAATTAAATGGATAAAGCTGATCCTAGGCTGGGAGTGATAGTAAGGAAACAAGCACCGCCTGTTCAATAAACTGTTGTTGCAACACCTGCCCAACCAACACTTGAAGAAAGTCAAATATTAAAAGAAGGTACAAGCGTTGCTCGATCTTCTAATGAAGCTAGGAGCTCTTTAACTCATGGGGGTTCCTCTCCTCCACGACCCGCGCATGACGCTGCCTTTGAGAGGCTTGCTAGGTTGTTGGCCCAACAAGATTCAGACCCTTCACCTTGCGGAAAAGGAATATCTATAGGGGAAGGAAATGTTGGGGGAGAGGAACCATCGATTGTTGATCTTAGAGTAGAGATTGGGGTACTGACCCAGAAAATCATTGAAAAAAATGTTTTGATTGGAAACATCAATGTTCAAGTTTCCAAGCTTGAAGAAGAAAACATATTAACGTCAAATCACATCTATACTCTTCAAGTCAACCTTGGAGCCTTGACGGCTGGATATTACGACTTAAAGAATAAGCTCATTGCTGAATTTGGTGACAAGTTCAAGACCACATTTGAAGATCCAAATGCAACCCAGACTTCTTAATCAACCCCAACCAATACATCACAATCTGATCAGCTTGATGACACTCCTCCAGTCAGAACCACTAGAATCGTTGAACGTTTTGAAAAAGAACCAGAGCAAGCCAATCCAAGAATTACAATCAAAAGAGCTGGGAAACACGTTACTTCACAGAAGATGGGAATGTGGCTCTTCATGAAGAACTTTGATCAAAATCTTCGTGGAGACCAGCCTCAACTAACAATGACTGAGCTCGAAAAAAAGAGGTTCAAACACAAATACAGTGACTGGTTAGGGATTCGTATGTAGGGCTTCATGATAAAATCAATTGCTAGCTGGTGAAATGAAAAAGTAATAATATGGAATATTACATGAAATTTTTCTTCCCTCACCAAAGTGGACCTCACTGAGATTTCTGAAGCTCCATTCTCCAACTCTTCCAATGATCCTCGTGCAAATGATTTCAAACTCTTCTTAGAGAACCAAGTGAGGAGAGGATTTGATGGGATGAAGACCACCGAATTTTTCTTGAAGACAGTCAAAGATGTGTTTGACCTGATCACAAACAAGTCCTTCGAGAACGTAATGTGGCATCCAACGAAGCAGATGAAAAAGATTCCCATCATCAAGAACTTTTGTGATGGTTCGCTATGCAACATGCAATACTGGGTTTACGATGACGCTACAACTACTGCTATAATCAAGTTCAAAGATGGTGTCTTCCATCTTGTTGATAAGAAGTACCTGCTTCAGTTTGGTGAAAGGGACATCCACAATTTGGCTGCACATCAAATTTTATGCAATCAGGAGATCATCAAGGTTGCTGCCAAGGAGTTCACAAGCATGATAGCGAAGATCATTGAGAAGAAAATGTGGCTAGGTGCTATGGGAAGATCAGACGTGTTGGTGATCGAGAAAGACTGAATCTATGCTAGCTCAAACCAAGGGGGGAAACTGTTAGGTCATATTTTGTTGGTTGGAGCTAGGCATCAATTTGTATAGGTCTTGATAGGGTTTTGGTCATGTAATGTATGGGTGTTGTGTGTTTGTGGCTATGAGGGTGTTCATGGCCATGAACGTGTGTACGACCGTGAACGTGTTTGCGGTTGGTTGGTCCCTATAAATAGTATCAGATGTGTCAGATGAGTAGTCATGTGTGTCTATCCAAGTGTACCTGACATTTGCGGCCCTAATAGACGTGTGCATTGTTAGATTGTTCCTTGCTTCTACTCCTTCTAATTCTTATTGTTTACCGCTTGATTGTGTGTTTGATCACTGCTTGGATTCGGGTTTGTGGACTTTACACTTATTGGGTCGTTCCATCGATTGGACACTTTCCGTGTTTATGTTGGTGTCAAGTGGTCTTGGTGGCCAGGCAATGGAAATGGCTCCATGGATTGGGTTGACTTCTGAACCCTACTTGGTACGTAGGTGATATTCCCGAAGGGACTTCGGGAACATATCAGTGAGTTTATGAATTTTCTAGGTTCCTTTTGATCTTTTCGCTTCTTGTCTCCAAATTCTATTATGGCTAGGTAGAGTGTGGTATTTCTTACATAGATACTTAGGAGTCTAGATGTCAGTGATGATTCGAGGACTTATCGTTATAGGTTGTAGGGGTTTCGTTAATTGATTGGTTAAAGCGAATGATCTGTTTATGGCACATGAATTTTTGTATGATGAGGATCAAACCAGCCCATGTCAAATGACGTTGTAGGGCTCCTTGTTGTAATTGATGTTGGATTGATTTGGAAGGGATGGTTGTTTGGAATGATAGTGTGTTCTATGTACACGTTTTTAATGTTACCGGTTTCATCCTTGTTATCACTACTGTGAACATTTTGTACCACGCTTAGTGAGTATTAGTAGTATAAGTGCTCCAATTATTAGCGATGAACATTGATAGTACGGTCCCCACCAGGCCCCTCTATATTAGGTTGGCGTATATGAGTCATGTATAATTAAGAATGGGAAGACTGTCGACCGAGGGACTCTGCCCTAAACACACAACCAAACAAGGAACAGGAAATAAGGTGGAGTGACGCACTCTAAGCCCTTGGAATCTAAATTACATATGACTCCAATGTATACACTAAGCCATCATAGCTCACCTGTAAGGACCCTTAGTTTTTATATGAATGGCATGTTTCGTTCGGACGAGAGAGTAATTTATAATTATTGACTAAAGCCTTTAGATATATTTAATAGGAAAACATACTGCTGCTCACAGGTGATTACGAGAGGGTCTCTCCTGTAGTGATTGTCAGCACCCTTCCTTCCCTACTAGAGTTCCATGTCATTGGAAAATCCCTCCTGAAGTGTTCAGATTCATCATACTTGTAACACGGTGAGCTTATATTGATGTTGGGGGTCTGGGAGATGGACCATGCCGATGCCCTGTAGAAACGGGTTGTGTGCCCCTTCCTATTGTAGGTCTTGCAGTATAACTTTCGGCAGGCTTCATGGAGATGGAAACTGCACTTGCTGAATTTTGGGCGAATCCCAACATATGGGGTTCTCGACATTGAGGTAGCAGGGTCAGTGGGGGTAGGGGCTGCTACAGCTTGCTGCCTTTTGGTAAGTCTTGAAGTTGAACTGCTCCCTATCTTGTTATAAGTCTTTCGCTTCTTGTTCTTGGATTTGTGGTTCGGGGTGTTCCTGTAGCTAGACTCTTGCTGGTGCCTTTGGTCCTTGCAGCGGGTAGGATTGTCAACACTATTTCCATTTCCGTTTGTGTTGTTGAGTTGTACCATGATGGCTATCACAATAACTTGGAAAGTGGCAAAGTATTTTCATAGGATTGGTGTTTCACCGGTTGACTGGTTGTTTCCATGGGAAAACATGATTCTATTGCATGAGGAGAAGCGAGCTCGTAGGTGACTATGGTTGTTTCCAGCTGTATCCTTTCTATATATATAGATACACATTTATGTATGCACCAATACAACCCACATGCTTTGTGATATGAGTCTAAATATTTCATCCCTTCGTTGTATCTATGTTAATAAATAGTAGTAGGTATTGGAAGATTGTTAAGTTCAACAGAAGAGAGTACACATATTAGTACAATCAGATGGTTCGGATTACATGGGTTCTTGGAGGGCATACATCTCTTGATTTACTACTACTAGTCATAATGAAGTACATAATAAACCTAAGACATAGTGCGAGTAGTGTAGTGACGCTCATATGCCGAAATAACGCACAAGGTGCTCGGCCAAATTCACTCATTTAACGAGTGGTCTCATCTACCGTCTGCTCTGCTTGAACTGCCTTAGCTTCGGCTACAAAGAGCTGCTGCTTTAGGGTGGCAACTTCCTCCTCTAAAGAGTCTAGACGACCGGTAGGGCCCTCCTGCGTTGTGTGCTGGTTTGGTATTGCTCACGATGGGTAAAGCTCGCTAAGGATCCCGTTGGTGCCTTCATCCTCATCTAACTCCTCATCAAAATTTCCCATTCGTAGGCCATTTCTTGGTATTCTTCATGGCCCACTACTAGTTTTTCCTCTTGAACCTCTTTAGGCATCTCCCCGATCCATCTGTTGGCTATTCTGGTAGGGTAGTAGGGGTTCTTCGTGGTGGAATTCAGCCATGTTGTCTGCACAAGAATAGAGGTGTGAGAAACATGTAGAAGGTTTAAGTGCGAGGGTTATATGGTATCCTAAAATACTCATATATTATTTTAAACTTCATGGTTGATTCTAATGTTACCTTACATGCAAATTGGGAAGTTTTAGTCTCGTTGCAACACTACTATTACTCCCAAACACATGTTGGTTGTATCTTGAATAAATATAGTTGATTAGGCAATATTTAGCCCATATATGATTACACAACTGTCTAGTTTTGACTATAGTGTCCAACATTTAATTACTTTGGTTTTGTTCTTATCATGACACTGTCTTAGCATATGTGTATATTGTTGTTGGAATACTTATACTTTTAAGCTATACTTTTAGTCAGAGTGTTTTAGTCCCATTGTATTTATATTTGTATATCTTGTATGGTTTGATTTACTAGTTCACTATAAACAATGCTCTGATACTAATCTATCACACCCCCAAACCGGGACGACGGAAACATCCGGGGGCGGGTGACTTCATTTTGAAATATCATAACAAGTATTTATTAATGAAACATAGCCACCAACATCATCATACATTCAAGACAACAAGATACATGGTTTACTACATTGTGTTTATTCATAAAAATTACATCCCAAGATAACAAATATATGATGAAATCAAAATATAACGTTCATTCAAATCCATGGCTGTAAAGAACCGGCCCACTGTGTCCCTGAGAATACAAATTGTTTGAAAAGCGTCAACATATAAAATGTTGGTGAGTTTATAAGCATGTTTTTAAGAAAACTTTCTAATAGTTTGAAATCTCCGGAAAATCCAATATTTTCTGTAAAAATAGTTTGAGAGTCTTGTTTAAAATTCATGTGTATTTGCATGTGTATACTTGGTTTACTTTCTTTGAAAACTTCATAGAGAGTGTTTCCAGAAAATCCTATATTTTTTATTAAATATAATAGTGTGGTCTTAAAAACCCTAAGACTGGAGTGATGTGACTAGTTACAAAATAGTCGACACAATGTTTGTACGTTGTAAAAATGAGTGATGTGTATATTCAGCGTAAATCTTATAATAGTATTGTTATTCTCTATGTGAGTCGTTATAAAAATACTAATATGACAGAGTGCCTGTCTTGACGTTCTTCAAACGTCGATTTTGAGAAGATATTTGTCACCCTAGACTGGCCTGTCTAGCTGTATCGAGCAACTAAGGTGTGGGGTGTCAACCCCGTATAGATCTATACACAAACTCCTGCTCTCCCTCAAGGAGACTCTGGTTATAACTACATGACTTACGATGTACACTAAGTGGGTACGAGTGAAGGAATGTCTCACAAGAGCCATAACGGAATTTACACAGACATTGAGTTTCATTATTCAACGTTATAAATAAAGTTACTAATGTATATCTTTGACTGCAATTTATAAGTGGTAAAAAAAATAACCATTTTTACCATAGGTGTCGAAATAGCACGTTTTTACCATCAATGTCAAAACAGCACATTTTCATCGAAATTGTCATAAAAGGCCCTAATTTTAGTAAAATGTTAAAAGTGTCACAATATTATCTAAAATGTCAATAATGACCCAGTATTAGTAAAGTTGTCAAAAATAGCCCACTTTACAAAACTATTAATTTAAGACCCATTTTTACAAAAGTGCTCAAAAATGGCCCGCGTTTACTAAAAAGCCCATTTCGGCCCATTTATACTAAAATGTTAAAAAATGGACCATATTTACTAAAAAGCCCATTTTCGGGCCATTTATACTAAGATTGTCAATAAAGGCCCAAGTTTATCAAAATGTTCAAAAATGGCCCATTCTTACCTTTATGGCCGAAAATAGTCCATTTTTCATGTTTTCATGCCAAAAATTTGTTTAAACATATTCTTGGTCTAATCCTTGTGATATATACCATGCATCAAATGAAACAAAATTTCTTTTAGAAGCTAGTTTTCATTTTTAACAATGTATCAAGTTAACTAAGTCCAACAACTTGAGATTCAACAAAATCTCGAGTTCATGGACTCTTAGCATAAATTTCACATCATTTAACACACATATCACACAACACATGCACTTGCAAGCAAATATACATAGATCTTTCACAATACTAGACTTGTATCCTCCCCTAAAAGAAAGAAAACTCGAAAAATAGGGGTATGAAGCTCACCTTGGAGATTTTTCGGCTTCGAAGAGGAAAATGGAGTAAGTTTTCAGCCTAGCTTGCCACCTTGATATGATTTTTGAAGCTAAGATGGTTCTAGGAGGCAAAACACGAAAATGGTGAGAGTGAGTGAAAGATCTTTAACACAAACCTTGAATAAAACAAAAGAGTTTGTC